AGGAGAAAGTCTTCATTTCACCTATTCCTGGCGAATTCTAATCCATGTTTGCCCAGCTGAAGGGCAAAAACAGCTAATGAGGGATTGTAAACCAACTCATCCCTCCCCTCCCAGCACACCACTGCAGATGAAATGGGAACAATTATGCAGATAAGAGAAGATCTGAGACCATTTTCTCCCTTTTCCTACAGTGAGGAAAGAGTGTATGTGTATAATCATTCTAAAATCACCCTCTTGCAACACTTAGGAGAAAAGACCTTACATTTGAGGCTACAATGCATGCAAGCAAGATTCCAAAACAGAAACATTTCTTGTCTCATTAAGCATGTTATTAATGGATACTTAGTTCAAGTTCATAAAAATCTTAAGAAAATGTCTGACAATAATACCAAAGATTTAGATGAACATGTATACACATATTATTACATCTACCTTACTATTATTGTTACTACCCTGTAGAGTAAGAATATATTCTATCATTTTGTTACTCCCACAGATGATCCTAAAAGCAAGAATACTTGAAATACTTGAAATAACTTGCTTCAGATCTTCATGGCTATCTAAATGTTGCAAAAGGAACATCAGAAGTGGCATTTAGGTGATGATTTACTTTGAACACCTCAGAAGTGAAAGGGTAGCAGGATGTGTTACGTGTTAAAGTATGCCTTGATAAAAGCATACATATGTCCTTGATAAAAGGACAACATCATATACGATACAGGTATGAATGATGAAGGAGGCTCCCACTCCCACATACCTGCAGTTTCTAATTTCCAACAGTTTCTGCACAATAACCCAAGTATTCTTGATGGAACACTGCAAGTAAGCAAGCATATTTTAAAGAAAAAGATGTTGGAATAGACAAATTTTGTGGTGAATGTATGGAAAGGATCTCCAAGTTTGACAAGTTATTTGAATATATCTTTTGGCAATATTATCAGCCTTTAGCAGTGCTGTAATTGAAAATCATACATCTGCCTGCTATTCTCAAAAAGTGACTGCAAGAATGTGATATAAGTTTGGTATTCAGATATTTTTTCTGAATTTGCATGGCTCTGGAGATCTCAATGGCTAGAGCAACAGGTTCAGGAGCACTCTAAAGCTGTGACTTGTACAGGTCTGGATGTCTGTGAGTTACGATTCTGTCTGAGGGCTCAAAGCTTAGCAGAAATTAAATGCACTTTTTCTGCACATTTCAGATATCCCTAGAGTTCTTTATGAAGAGAAAAGGGTCAAACAGTTTTTTGCACATTTCAGATATCCCTGGAGTCCTTTATGAATAGAAAAGGGTCAAAAGGGTAGCAGAAATACCTGTCAGAAACAATTATTGTAGTAAGGAAGAAAGTAAGAAAAAACCACCTTTTACCAAAAAAAAAAAAAAAAAAAAAAAAAAAAAAAAAAAAAAAAAAAAAAAAAAAATAAAAAAGACCTGAAATAATAATCCAACCTGAGGACGAATGTACATTAAATACAAATGTGTGTTTCAGTTTCAAATGTCACATTACATTTTTTTAGTGCTTGGACGACTTGAGTACTCCACTCAAAGGCAGGCAGAGGTATATAAGATATGTGCAAACAGCATGGGAACAAAAGACTTGTGGCTCAGGGTGAGCAACTAATGTGCATTTCTATGATCAGTAGAAAAACCAAAGTAGAATTTTCCATATAAACTATTTTTACATTATCCATATTAGCTATACAAACACTGATTAAACACAGAAAAAGAGTTGTGTAAAGGTCATTAAGTAGAATGAACAACGCAGAAGTATTACTAAGTAAGTAACGGCTGTGAGGGGAGAGATGTGACAACTTATCCAGAAAAATTCCATGGATTGTCATCTTTTCATCTTTATTTTGTGGATACAATTCACGTCTGTGATACATCTGTTCCACTGGTCTTAAATGGCATGTCTAAAAACTGAAGGCTGTGGAGTCCTCTTGGAGATCCAGACACAAACTTGGCAGTTTCCAGACCATATGTCATGAATAGACTGGAGTACAAACCAACATCTCTTGCTTAGTTGGTACAGATCCCAACAGAAAGCACTGCTACAGCTGTGGCTTTCTCTCTGTAGAGTTTTTAGTGCCAGTATAAAAATACTATACTGCAATAATGGGTGTACCCTTGGTATTTGTATGACCTGAAGCATAACTTGAATTTACATCATTTAAACATGCAACCACTCAACCATCCAATACGCTTAGTTACTTTTTTTTTAAAAAAAATTATTTCATATATTATTTCTTCATCCCTCCTACGCTAGGGTGTTTCCCAACATGTCTTAATGATGCACTTTAATGACATATTTTGTCTTCCATAGTCACAGAATTGAATATCTGTTCAGAGTTTCACTGGATTTTTTCCATCTCCCCGAGTGAACATATAGCCTTCTTCCTTCCAGCCCCAAAAACAGTTTTTACATTAATCCATCCTCCCATTACAGTTCTAATTATGTCCTCTTAAGGCTGTCTTAGTCTTACATGGCACAGTTTCAAACATCACAAAAAGAATTTTTAGTTGTCCTAAAATTTGGCATGAGCAGCAATTTGATTGCCAAACACAGGAGGAGCCAGCCTATTTGCTGGTTTGTAGTACCACTTCAGTCCTGTGAAATGTGGATAAAATGGCAATGATACCACATGTATAAAAAGTGCCTTACCATCCTTTGGAATGCACTGGCATCCTTCATTCTTTGTAGAATGCTCCTGCCATCCACGTTAACTTGTAGTCTACTTTTTTTAAAATGATTATTATTCACATTTTAAAGTTTTATCAAGAATATTTTTTTCTCCTAGGACATGATAATTTGCTTTTTTGTTGTTGTTTGAAAGATTTTTCCTCACTGTTTATTTTCATTCTTTTCAGTGGGCAGCCACACAAACAGCTGCTTCAGCACACTGCACTAGTGAATGGACAGAGAGCATTTTTAATGACAGGAAGTTTCTAGGACTATTTACAACAATAGAAAAATATTTTCTTATGTCAGCAAACTGCATAGAAAAATCCCCTCCCATTCCTTCCGCAAATGTGGTCATGCTTTTACCTAGGCAAAAGTAAAAACTTGTCTGTCTTTCACAACAAAAAAATTTAGGAGGGAATGCATTAATTAAATTAATTAATTTAAAAAGAAAGTATTTTTACTTTTAGGTTCCTGTTAATTTCTTTGATTTCTTAATAGTAGAACATCCACATTTTACTGAATCCACTATCAGCTGTGACTGTCTTTACTAAAAGAAAGAAGCTTAAGAAACTAAGTAACAAGTTTAAGTAAGAACTTAATAAGAGATAAGGAATACTTTACATACATCCAATCCAGGGGATTCACCAAAAAGAATAAAATACTGATATAAGAAATAATAAAGGCCATATATGAAATAAAGATTAAGAAATTACAGATTAAGAAATAATGTAAATACAATATTGCAATTTAGCAAGCTTCTAGTCTCTAGAGACGGCACCAGCTGCACATCAAGAAGATTAAGGTGTTCACCATAATGATGGTAACATAAAACACATGTTTTTTTCAGGTTTTCATGTTTTTAAAATATTAACCTCTAATATGATGCCTTTAAGTAGGTCAGTCTCAATACACTCACATTCGTTTTCAGTGCTGGATTCACTCAGCCAGAATAGTGTCAGTGATAAAAATATTATATCTATTTTGGCCAATGTGAATGTCTGCCACGGGCAACTCACCTTTTTGCACTTTCCAGCTGAAGTAGAGGTTTTAACAATAGAGTTAGCAGATGATAGAGAACTGCATTTCCTAATTGCACTGGGCAAGTACAATATGGCCAGAACAGGTGTTAGCTTAATTTTCCTCATCTGTACCCGCTAGCAAGTCTGGTTACCTTTGCACACTCATTCGATGTGGTCGTTCAGGGAAATCAGTGCAGATGGAGTGTCACTGTGTGCTCTTGCCAAAGGTTTTTACAGCTAGAAGCCACTGTCTCCAGTCAGTATCAACACTTAGTACAGATTACAGCTTGAGTTTAATTTAAAATTATCTGTGGGCATCAACTCAGCACACGAGGAAAAAACAATGAATAAAACACATCTTAATCCAGATAATGTGGACTGAAAATGAAAAAATGAAAACACATAAAGTCTAAGAGGTGTCTCCTAGAATTTTGTATACTAAGGTCTTACATATTTATGTTGTTTTTCATCCCTTTCCCAGTCAATATATATTGTTTTGTACCAGAACTAGTACATCACTTTTCAGTGATTTTTTTTTTGCCAATATTCTTTAAAATAAATATTAGTACTCTTCTAGTTCAGAAAATATAAAAGAAAATGCTTCATATTTATTAACACAAGAACTATTATTTGTACTGAAAACAAACTATGGCACAATAAACTTCATAAAACGGGGGAAAATACATGGTAAGTGAAACAGATAAGGAGAGGATTTTTTAATTTCCATTTAATTTGGAATGGCTATATTTTATATTTTGTAAAATATCAGTTTTAATGAATGACTGGCAGTATGCTAGCTTTTCATTTAAATTTTGTAGTAATTAGGAAAGCATTTTTGTTTTTTGCTTTTTTCTGATTTTTAACATTCTGTTACTCCAACTATTTTGAATATGTGCTGATAAAAATGCCTTAGAAAAGTGACAGGGCCAAAGCAACTGCCACTGAAGTAATGGAAGACTGACAGAATGTGTAAGAAAATTATGGTTATTTTCCCATTGAAAGTGTTGTTGAAACATATTTTGCTGAGGCTTTTTCAGTTTGTTTTGTTCCAGTGGTCTCAAAAATTATAATTCTTCATTAAGCAGTTTTAATTTTAGCTATTTTGAAGAATTTCTAGGTTTTTTTCCTTGAATTAATGCTGAATCATGCTCTTATGATCCATTGTCTGCAGTGGTTTTTGAGTATGGTGATATGATTTTTTTCCCAGACTTTTCAGTAATATTTTATATGTGATGGAAATTAATTAAACCTATTAATAAAGCTAAACTGATAAACATAACAGTCAATAAAGAACACTCACCTACTGTCAGTTGTCCAGTTAACTGTCCCATGTGATTTCTTGCATTCACTGTTACATTTCTGTCAGACTGTAAGACCAGTGGGCTATCCTGGGAAACATGTATGAGACAATAAATGAGAGAACAAAAAAATTGAGGTAAAATTAATTTCGAACTTAATATAAACACGCATGCTGAGAGGGAAGTTGTGTCAACTATAATAGCCCTTTTTAATAATTTCATTATATATTTTACAAGTCAAATTTTTATATTAAAGAATACCAAGAATACTATTTTAAACTTGAAGTCTTTGTGCATACAATCCCTGTTTCAGGAATCAGATTTGAATTTGATTTATTTAATTTGTGTTTTAATTTCCTGTTAATATTACAAAGTTCCAAATTCAAAAAACCTTAACACAAACCTGTTCCACTAGCCTTTCTCATTTATTAACCTGTACTTTTCTAACTACCTAACCAACACTATATTGTGTTATTCTATTAATCTGCACAATCTGTAATATTTGCATTGCACTTATTAAAATCTTACAAACACAGACATGCATTTCTTTGAAGATAAAGAGAATTGTTACTCTCAAAAAAAAACAAACCTGAGAGCACTGAAAGGTGAGATCCAAAGAACCCTGATCCACTGCCAAAAGTACCTTACAGGTACTATTAGGCATCAAACTGATACAGCAAGGAGAAAAACACTTTATGTTAAATACAGTCTTAAAAATTTTGGAGTCAGTTAGCAGGATGACTACCTGGCTCTCAACATCCAACTCGGTTTGAGCTTTTGAAAAATGTTTGCACACACAGATGTAAGCTTATCCTGTGTTCAAAGCCAGCATAAACAATCCCAAAAAGAACTGAATTTTGCTTCTTGAAGAATGAGGAGCCATATGCACTCCTTTAGGGGAAGCACAGATGCACAGGAAAGGAGAAGAGCTTCAACAGAGAGCTAAGAGAAATTGTCTTAAAAAAGAAGAGCAAGTTCACCAGTTATGCTCTCACTGGAGTGGGGTGAGAGCATGAGAGAAGGAAAAAAGTAGGATTGTGACCACCACTGCAGAGAGGCACTTTTCTCCCTGGAATCACCTGATACCACGCTGTTCTTTCCCTGAAGTTTGCAGAGAGATCACGGGTACTTAAATGCTTCTGGCAGTTTGCTAGCACTCAGTGTGCTTGGGTGCGTTTATCCAAAAGCATGAAGACATCTGACAGAAACAGCTGGGGATGTGCCTTGAGTAGGAATGACTAAGGGCTAGGAAGATAATTGGGAAATTCATTATATACTTGTAATATTCCTCCCTGGGCATCCATTATTGGTCATCCCTGGACTGAGCATATAAGGTTAAAGAGATCTCGTACGTGTGTCTCTTAATATATCGGTTCTTGCTGTTCCTGAAAGTTTTTTAGATGAGAAGGAAAGGACATATGGAGACATAGATAAAGATTTATTTTTACCTGAATGATGCATTAGGTTTTCACTAAAATTTTCCATACTTTCCAGTCCTTTCCTTTGAATCCAGAGCTTTCCTGGACAAGAAACAGTCATCCCAGTTGTTTTCACTATGATTATTAACTTTAAATAATAATCGATTCCCTGGGAAGTCTGAAATGATTCTGAGCTAATTTCTGGGAGTTCAGGTGCATTTAATTTCTCACTGGACTATGCTATGACCTCTTTAACATCCTGCCAATTAGCTCTGCTTCACAGATTCTGGCAGATGAAAGTGACTGTTTGGCTTGTCCATCTTTCTAGATAAAAAGATATAATTATCAGTGAGACACTGTGTTCAACTTTACTAGTTTGAGCTAAACATGTGATGCAATCAAGGGAGCTTCTGGCAACAAAAGCAGCTGTTAAGGACCTTTTTCTCACTACTTGATTTCCACTTCCCTTATAGTCCTTTGAAAATCATTAGTCCAAGCAACTGCTGCTTTGGAAAAGGCAGTTGTCCTAAGAGGCATCTGCAAGGCCAAAGGCTTTTAAGGAGCATTTTTCACTTTTGTTTAGTCACTTTTTGGTGAAAAGTCTTCTCAGAATAATCTTATCCTTAGCAAGGGAGGACACTGCCATGCCTATTTTTGCCAGTTCAGCAAAGGTTTTGGGGACTTACACTCACAAAGACTGATCACAGTCTGATCTGAAGGTTTCTTTCCTTTCACCAAAGAAAAATACTTAACACAAACCTCAGGCTAAAATCTGACTCTCAGGTTCTAAATTTAAAAAAAAGAACCTTGGATATCAAATTCTAAAATACAGGATAATGAAAAATTAGGTGAGCCAAGCCTTCTTTCTTCTTTCCTTGCCTTATATAAAAGAAAAAATGAGAGTGAAGAAGTTAAGAACTTAAATCTACATTCCTCACTTTCTGGATGAAAAATATAGAGCAGCAAGATTAAATTCTGGACCAAAGAAAATGCAGTGGCAGAACTCCTATCAATTTAAAGCAGTCCAGCATTTCATCTACATTACTTGCACTTTATTTTACACAAGAAGTGCCTAAAGACAGAGGTTCAAGGAATTAAAAAATAGTCTTCTCAGAGGAGCTAGACATTCAGAGAAGACTTAGCTGAAATCAGTGGAATTACTGATCTGTTTGGTGAGTATGAAGTGCAATGAGTATCGCTCATAGGAATACAAACATATCTAAAGCATAAAGATACTGGATAATTTTCTCTCTGCATGACCAGACCTGTTACTCTCTTGATGCAAACTTCAGCTTCCAATGATTTGTGATGCCATTTCAAAAATTATACTGTAGATAACAAAACCCAACAATGAAAGAACATTCTTACAGTTACACAGAGCTTTAATGTCAATATGCTAATTACTAAAATATTATAGAAGGGTACTGACATGAGGACCTCAGGAGTTTGCTGATGTTCATGACACTGTGTAAAATGACTCTTGTAAACCCCAAAGCATTACAACTTCAAGATTAAAGGTAAATCAGATTAAAATGTTACAATAGTTACTTCTTGTCTGAAACAAGTTTACAGCTAGGATTCATAAAAGTAAAAACAAACTAATTAATTTAGGGTGTATTTTTAGAAAGCTTTCTGAACTTGTAATCAAGTTATAAATACAATGAAAAGTTTGAGGGAAAAAAAGGTTTGTTTTTTAATTTTTCTGCTTGTTTGGTTTAGGGTTTTTTTTTGAGTAGGAATCACAGTTCAGTAATAAATATCAACTTTTCTTTTTAGGATTGGATGAGCATATTATTTTAATTATATGGAAGGCCAATAGATTGCTTTATAAAATCATTTAACCAAAAATATTCTGCAGAGCAATCATAGCAAAACTCTTTTTTTTTTTTTTTTTTTACAGCTGGTTTAATTATTTTTAACATATTTTGGACAAATTTAATGCATTTTGTACAGCATTCAAATAGGCAATCGCAGCTAATTAGCTCCGTTTTGAAGAGTCTTTCCAAAATTAACCTTTTAAATTAGAAAGACTTTAAATGGAGAAATTTAATTCAAGTTAGTTTAAGAAAACATTGGTTTTCTCTGGGTAAAATGGTACACTGTACAATTAAATATTATCTCTGATTTATGCTCAGAACACAGATAATTATGATACTATCACCAACTTTTACACTCAGAAACAGTACTGATATGTCTACATTTTTATAGCCCAAGCAATGGGGTTTTTATGATTTGATTTTTGTGCTTAGGTAAGTGTAACACTTTAGGTCTCTGGACTTCTACATGGTGTCATACAGATGTAAAAAGTAATGTAATAAGCAGGCAGGACTCAAGATCTGCCCCCCTGTCTGCTGGCAGTTTGTAAAAGGATGTAATGCTATATATTCCTTTATTTGCTCCTATCTCCAGTATGAACAGCTAAAATAATTATGGCAAACCTTTCCTTACGGGACACTTCTCAAACAAACCCTGAAACTCCAGTGACTCAGAATGGCCACTGCATTACCAAGGTATCTTTACAGAAAAAAATAATCAGTATTAAACTTTGGTTTGCTGAGAAACTCGCCATTACCAGATTTTAAGAAATACAGAGAGCAAGTTTTCCCACTGCTGCAGAGTGTCTGTTGCTTTAGAGATTCATGCTGTGGGTGCCACTGAACAAGCTGATTGTCTGCATCTGGTCAATGACCCCAACAGGAGAATGAAAAATGTATGAGTTATTTGACCACACCACAGGAACTGAATGAGAAATTAAATGAGAACTGAAAGAAATAGAAAGTACTTAGTACTCTGGTCAGTGCAGCAGACCAAGGGAGTCAAAGGACTGCTGAGTAGATGTGCAATAACTACAGGGGCAACTGCAGTTAAGGCAAATGAGGGATAACAAGTGTGAAGAATATCCTGGAGGAATTAATTGCAAGGAGTTTAGAAGAAGGATATGAAAGACACAGTGCTAGTTAAGAAGGGAAGAAAGACTAAGGAAGATGTGAGGGGATGGAAAAAACATTCCTTAGAGGTTATCCGTCGTCCGGAACCAGAACATCAGCATGTTTTAGCAATGTTTCTTTGCAAATGGGGAGAGATGGTAGATAAAGCTACAGAGACTGAAAAAACACACATTTGTAGGGCTTGGAGTCTCAGAGACAGACTTTCTATCATTAAGGTTATTACTAGCCCTAAACAAACATGAAGAAATTTGCATTAGGAAAATATGAAAGAAAAAAGACATAAAAACAAAAGCAATTGCTGAGTTCTTGAGTACTTAAAAAATTGAAGGCTTCATTAAGACTTGGAATTTTGTACAAGTTTGGAACTGTTAAAACACAAATTAAAGAAAACTCTTCTTCATCAGAATATTCTCATGATATGTTTTCCAAGAATATTTTCAATATTCCTTTATATTAATATTTACCAATATTCAGTATTTCCAAGAATATTCTCAAAAAATTAGAATCCTTTCAAGGTGTCAGGGCAGCAGGGACCCCAACACAAGTGTATTTCAGATAGGGAGAAATGAATATAATTTATTGTCTGAGTTATTCCTGGGCAATTCTGAGCTGAAGAGTTAACACGAGTTTTGGTTCAATTTAATTAGATGCTTTTCCCTATTTTCTATACCCCTGCTTTCCCAAAACAAAATTTCACATCACATTTTAGTGTTCTTCATGTATA